CCCCAAGAAAAGCTGCTTCAGAAGGATGTGGCAGGACAAGGTGCTTCCAATCCTCTACCGACAGACGACGCCCACGAAGCAGCAGATGCTGCTCGTGGAGAACGCCCCGCAGGCGTTCATGGCAGTGCTGTACACAGCAGCAGAAGGTGGCAGCATCATCGTGTCCGTGCTGAACATCGCGGTGCCGATTCTGCAGGTGGTCGGAGCCAGGGCTCTCTTCCCACGCCTTCGGGAAGCCGTGGTGCCCTGGTTCGTGAAGAAAATGAAGTCCGCCATGAAAGACGAAGACTCCTTGACCGTGGGACGACTCTGGAAAGAGGCCCGAGAAACCCTGAGTTTCAATTGCAGGGATGCCCCGCGCTTGCTGTGACGTCCATGCTTGAGCCGAGTTAGTTGAAAGTAAAATCCGTGAGAAGGCGGACTTCGAGCAGGACCCAAAGCTGCTGGCGCATGTCGTGCGTGTCCTCTCCGTCTTCGATGGCAAGCCTCAGCTCCTGGACTGGTTGGAGTCTATGACAGGCCCCTTGCTGTGCTTGCCTGGCGTTTTCAGAGTCACAGTTTTTGCGAATGCTGTGCAGGGGACAAGAGCAGGGCACCACGGTACATCCAGCTCCTGAAGGAGATGCTGATGCTGGCAGCCTCCAAGGCGACACGCCTTGTTCTGGACGACCGGGACATGCGCGGCGATGCTCTGGAGTTCCAGGCTCGTCTTGGAAGCCCTAAAGAAGCAGAATCAGCCCAAATCCTGACCGTTAACCGTAAACCAGAGCAGAGTTGTGGTCATCTTGTGTGTCCCCAGGCCGTGTGCAGCTTCCTGACAAAGGCAGTTTTTTTGGAAGAGGCCCCTGCTTCCTTCTTCTCCATGGCTTGAGCCTGGGACAGGGCTGCCATAGGCCTGTCCGAAGTTGACAGGTAGATGTTTCCAGGAACGACCTCGGAGCAGAGGAGGGTCAGGCAGCAATGCAGGGCGCAGGGTCTTTGTCCACGTTCCGGACTTGCAGTGACCTGCATTGTGAGCTTGGGCCCGGTATCAGCTGACAGGCCCTGGCTGCCAGCATCGCTGCCAACGGCTCCATCATCGACTTGAAGCTGTCAGGAAACTCTTTCGGAACCACCGGCATGCAGGCGCTGCATACCGTGCTTTCACAGGGCCATACTTTCGGCCGAAGCCAGGAAGCTTGCTTTGTCTTTGGCTCCCTGCAGGCCCTGGCTGAAAAAGCCTTGCGCATTCGAAGCCTTCGGCACCTCGACGTCGCTGGCAACGGCCTGGGTGCGGCCGGCTTCCAGGCTGGGTTCGAGCAGGGTTTTAGTGCAGCTTAGGCTCCCGCTCTTCTCTCTCGCAGGCCTTGGCAGAGGCTTTGGCTGAGACTTCCCTGCTGGAGTCTCTGGACATAGGCTCCAACGATCTCGGGCCGAACTGTGCCGAGGCCGGCGTGGCATCGTGTTGAGGTGTAGGGTCGTTTCAGGGGCTAGAAGGCTAGCCGTCACATGAGGTCTCCTGCCGTAAGGAGCTTTGGTTTGCAAAGCCATGTCCTGTCAGAAGGCAGCAAAATGAGTGAAGGGTTGCGAGTCGCAACGTTCTCCATGCTGTCAACCCTTCATCGCCTTTGTCGGCATGGGAAGCTCCTGTTGATGCTGCCAACGAAGCTGAAGCTGATCCGTGTGGTCGGCCATTGGACGCGAAGATCACTCGCAATGTCAACTACGTCGGAATTTCAGGAAGTATGAGCAACCGCATCATGCTCAACCCTTGCCAGAGGCGCAGCTGCTTCGAAGCTCGCGAGACTGTCTGCAGCAAGTGTATCACAATGACGCCAAACATATAGATACAGTGGCCATTGTGGTGTGAATCTCTCGTTCTGCCAGACAGAGCTGTCATGGAAGATGCGTTTTCTCGAGGTTGGGTATCGGTGATTGTTGATACAGTCGGACGGCCTTGAGGCTTGTTCTGGGATCGTATCATGTCTGATCTCAGAGTCATTGGGGAGGACGGTTTCGAGGCCTGGACAGCGGCAGCATGTACTTGTCCAGGCAGAGTCTAACCTTGAGTCGGCGAGTCGGCTCAACCCAGTGCTGATTTTCTTAGAAGCCGTAAGATCTGCTCTGTGCTCCCTGTCGCCGCTCCAGAGCCACATCGAAGCTGCGGCTTCGTGAACCAAGTTTTGTATCAGCTGGGAGGGGGGTAGTCAACCCTGCGGAGCGTAGTGTGCCATGTAGATGATGTGGTATCGGATATCGAGCCGCGGGAGCGTCCGCCATTGTTCTAGGGCTCTGTTTAGCTTTCAGGCGGATGTTGTGGACCGGCTGGCCGATTTGTGCCCGTCGGGTGCGGCGTGTGTTCGCACATGTTGTCTGCCTTGAGTTATGTTCGATCGGCTGTATGCCGCACGCGCAGAAGTAAGTCGTACTGCAGTCGGATGCTCCGATGCATCAAACGCCACCTTGGCATGTTCAGGCCTTGCAGAAGCTTCTCCTGGGTACGAAGACCCTCAAGGACTTCCGTGCTGCCCACAACGCCTTGGGGGATGCGGGGGCCAAGGCCGGCAATGCAAGGCGCCTTCCTTCTTCGTGCGTCGCCTCAGTTGCCAGGTCGTGGCAGAATGCCTCGACTCTGACCGCTGTGCGATCGAACGACTGAGCCTCGTGGCCAACGGCATCGGCCAGAAAGGATTCAAGGCTAGGACCGTAGAGGGCAGCGTGCGAACGTCGGCCATGAGGCGTGTGGTGCTCCAGTCAAGGGCCCACCAAACATGCAGGCTCTGGCCTCCAGTCGGCGACATCATGCAGCCGTTCAGCTCCACATCTCCGGAAACTTTACGAACCTACACTGGCGTTTTCGGATGGAGGCCAGGCCGGGCTGTGTCCCGTGGTCCCGTACCGTACCGTGGGCAGCCCTGTGCAAAACAGAGCCGTGCGTGCAACACCGAGGCTGCCACAGACCTGAGTCGGTGCTTCAGGCTGATGGACGTGGTGGCACACGATGACGACAAGTCGACTGCTCGTGACAAAGCCCAGGAGGTGCAGCTCCGCGCCTGGGGCTTCCGTGTCAGCAGAACTAGAGGGGGCTCCCTTTCGGACAGGTCCGGCAGGCTCTCCGAGAGGGCAACGTTGAGATCTTTTGGAAAAAGGGTTGCAAGGCATCGCGACGGGAGCACATTTTGCTGCCAGTTCTGGCGAGAGCACAAATTCCGGCGGACTTCCTGCTTTTGTCAGGAGCTGGCTGCGGCCTTGCAGGGCCCGTCTCGGCTCCAGGTCTTACACGTCGACAAGGGTTATGATGTCGAGGCGGTGGGGTTTAGGGTTTAGGGTTTTAGGGGATGTCGAGCCGGGTAGGGTGTGCTTCGTGGGTGCTTCTCTGCCAGGCCGCGTTGGAGGCCCTCGAGGGCCACGTGGCGCTGAAGAGCCTCGTACTCGACAGCATCAACGGCTCGCTGTCGGAGGTAGGTGTGTTTGACGGCATTCAACAGCCTTCGCCTACAGCAGCAAATTCCGTTTAGGACACATGTCCAAGAGTTCGATGAGCCTAGTGCAAGGAGACACTGGAACTTTGTGGCACTGCCTGATCGCTTTGCATCTGGCTAGGCCCTCGGCTTCGCCTTGGATGGAAGGTCTGGTCTTGAGGAGCTGGTCGTACAATACAGTTTCACCCATCTCAATCCCGAAGGAATGCAGGCAGGGGATGTAGTTCTGTGCTGACGCAGAAAAACCGTGTGTCGCCACGACGGCCCATTTAGGTGTAAGGCCCTTCGCTCGGGAAAGCCACTTCGCCGCCAGGCCCTGGCGTCCGCTCTCAAGGGCCTCGCTGCGCTGAAGGTCCTTTATCTAAGCCACAGCGATCTCGGGGACGACGGGGCGAAGGCACATCGTGAAAGAATCGGAAGTTAAGATCGAGCCTTCAAGCTCTGATTCTGAGTGGTTCGTGCTGAGCTTCGAATGCGTGCGGGTTTGGAGCCTCATATGTTTTGAATCTGAACATTTCCGAAACATCTTGTTGTCGAAATGGAAGGCATTCGGGTTCGCCTCGATCGTATCTTGGGAGAAGCCAAAGTAGCTGCAGACACCTGCTGCAAGGAAGCGACCGAAGAGGGGACACCCGACAGCACGAGTTGCCAGCACTCTAGTTCAGACCCTGTGCTTGCTACGCGCGTGTGTGGCTTGTAACATGACGTTGAAGTGCTCCACACGTCGGGGCCGGCCAGGCTCTGGCGGAGTCCCTCACGGGCATGTCCTTGCTCGAGGAGTTGCGCCTACAGGGGAACAAGATCGGTTCAGAGGGTGCTCAGGCCGGGGCAGAGTTCTGTCTTAGCAAGATCTCCAGGCCAAGCGGGTGCAGAGGATTCCAGGGCATACCGCATTGTCAGGTCCTGGCGCCCGCTCTCCAGGGCCTCGCCGCGCTGAAGGTCCTTGATCTAGAGCGCAACGATCTCGGGCACGACGGGGCGAAGGCGCGTCGTGGGAGAATCGGAAGGTAAGATCGAGCCTTCAAGCTCTGGGGAGATTCTGATGATTCTGAGTGGTTCGTGCCGAGCTACAAATGTGTGCGGGGTTTGGAGCTTCGCTGTGGATCTCTTGAGACGTGATGTTATGCTATGTTTTGAATATGAGCATTTCCAAAGCATCTTGTTGTCGAAAGGGGAGGCGTTCAGGTTCTCCTCGATTCCATCTTGGGGGAGGAACTCGGAGATAGCTGCAGACACCTGCTGCAAGAAAGGGACCGAAGAGGGGACACCCGACTGCACGAGTTGTCAGCACTCTAGTTCAGACCCTGAGCTTGCTACGCACCTGTGTGGCTTGTAACATGACGTTGAAGTGCTCCACACGTCGGGGCCGGCCAGGCTCTGGCGGAGTCCCTCACGGGCATGTCCTTGCTCGAGGAGTTGCGCCTACGGGGGAACAAGATCGGTTCAGAGGGTGCTCAGGCCGGGGCAGAGTTCTGTCTTAGCAAGATCTCCAGGCCAAGCGGGTGCAGAGGATTCCAGGGCATACCGCATTGTCAGGTCCTGGCGCCCGCTCTCCAGGGCCTCGCCGCGCTGAAGGTCCTTGATCTAGAGCGCAACGATCTCGGGCACGACGGGGCGAAGGCGCGTCGTGGGAGAATCGGAAGGTAAGATCGAGCCTTCAAGCTCTGGGGAGATTCTGATGATTCTGAGTGGTTCGTGCTGAGCCTCGAATGCGTGCGGGGTTTGGAGCTTCGCTGCGGATCTCTTGGGACGTGATGTTATAATATATTGTTTTGTTTATGAGCATTTGCAAAGTATCTTCCTGTCGAAAGGGGAGTCATTCGGGCTCTCCTCGTCCCTAACTTGGCGGGAGCACTCGGAGGAAGCTGCAGACACCTGCTGAGGAAGCGACCGAAGAGAGGACAACCCGACAGCACGAGTTGAGTCTGCTATGAGTAGCCCCGTTTACACCCGGAATTTGCTACTAGTGCACACCTTGAAAAATGACGTTGAAGTGCTTCACACGTCGGGGCCGGCCAGGCTCTGGCGGAGTCCCTCACGGGCATGTCCTTGCTCGAGGAGTTGCGCCTACGGGGGAACAAGATCGGTTCAGAGGGTGCTCAGGCCGGGAAGAGTTCTGTCTTACCAAGATCTCCAGGCCAAGCGGGTGCAGAGGATTCTAGGGCATACCGCTTTGTCGCAACGACGGCCCATCTAGGTGTAAAGCAGCTTCGCTCGGGAAAGCAGCTTTGCCGCCAGGCCCTGGCGCCCGCTCTCAAGGGCCTCGCTGCCCTGAAGGACCTTTATCTAAGCGGCAACGATCTCGGGGACGACGGGGAGAAGGCGCGTCGTGGCAGAACTACGAGCATGTCCGTGAGATTCTGAGTGGTTGAGGTCTTGAGCTTCGCTTTCTCGTTCATAAAAGAAGGTGTAGATGCGGATGATGGGGAAGGCGGTACATGCCAACACTGCGACGAATAGTCTCCGAGCAGAGTGCGGTACACCATGTGGAGAACAGTACGGGGGCATACCTACTGACCCCGAAGCTCAGCTCTCGCGGCACGCAGAAGCACAAACGGTCTCTTCATTGACAATAGGGTAGTTCTCCTTTTAGGTCCCCAATTTGCTACGGCACCCTTCTGAAAAGGACCCCCAGTAGGGACCCTAATTTAGAGAACTACCCAATAGGTCACAATGACTATGCCGCTGCAATTGGCGGTGGTTTTGGAAGAGCTGTGCCAAAACGACCACCGCCGAAAGCTGTCCCAGCCACGGCTGACATAGGTCGTTGGCGTTGGGGGTTGGAGGGGGGCGGACAGCATGCGCAGCACGTTAGCATTGCCTCAAGTGGGTCGGGCCCCAAGGTTGGGGCGAAAGATTCCTGCATAATGGCACTTCCAGGAAACGGGCTGTTGCAAAGGGCGGGGCCGCGGTGCTGCTGTGGTTTTCGGCCCCACTTGCTGCTGCCATGCTGCTGCCATGCATGCTGGCGCCTTTCTGCCTTTTTCAAGAACTTCCGTTGAACACCGCAGTGGCAAGCTGGAAACCGTCAGAAGCGATACTGGAGTGAGGGGGCCCCCTTAGGACGGAACGTATATCTAACCCCTGACTGCCAGCTACTGGTCAGCTTGGGAGGGAGACTTTCGGTCGGGTTCGGCAAGACACGATGTGGCGCAGTGTAGCTTCCTCTGCCTTTGCCAGGCTGTGAGGGATGCCGTCAAAGACCTGCCAGCGCTTGAGAGATTGGAGTTGTGAGCCGCCGGCTCAGAGCCGGAGCGACACGGATGTTGAAGGAGGGCTGAGGGCTCGGGAGTCTCGAAGCCGGAACCTGCCACCCTCCAAGTTGAACATAGCACCGTATTGACCCACTTTGCAGGCTTCACCTTCCATCTCTGCATTCGCCGGGACTGAGTGAGCCGCTCATGCTGCAATGCTATCCAACGCTCCTGCCGCAGCTGAGCCACGAGGGGCGTCCGTCTGGGTCCGGCGTGCTGCTTCAAGGTTGAATCTGTGTTACGAGTCCTGAAGCAGTTGGGAGTTCGAGCAAGCAGCGGACAAGGGGCGGCTACCCTCGATGCGTGCGCTCCGACTGTGCTTAGAGGTCCAGGGGACTTGGTAAGTAGGTTATGAGTAGAGTTGTAAGTACCCTAACTAGAGTTACCCCAATTATAACCCTACTTAAAGCCGACTTACTAAGTCCCCTGGGCCTCCGACCGTAGCTCGCGCTCTTGAGGTTTGGGATGTTTGGCTTCTTTGGGCTCCCGGTTGCAGGAGGTTATGTATTATAATAAATGATACGGTTGATGATATAAATCCTGCATTACCCATAATAAGGAATATAGCATGAATCCCAAAGTTTAGGATCCTTAAGGTGATGCAGGATTTATATCGTCAACAGTATTTTAACATATTATACTACACTCTGCAATATTGGAGTTTAGAGTTTCCTGTTCGGGGTTTGGGGTTATGGGTGTTGAGCTGGTGGGTTGAAGGGGGATCTGGTTCTATAAGGTTTTTCGGAAGTTTGAAGTTTAACGTCAGACGGACTCACCATCAAAAAACTACCAAATCTAAACGGCTGAAAACACCAGGCCCGTAACCACTACTGGGAGGGTCGGGGGACTTAGGAAGTAGTTGTTCCATAGCATCCTGGAGTAGAAAACAGTATGGGGCTGAAGATTTCATAAGAATCCCCAATCTTGAAGCCTAAACCTTAGACCCTATGCCAGCAACCTCGAACCCGAAACCCGAAGCCTTAAACCCTACACGCCCTCAACCTTACGGCGCAAACCTTTAGGCCAAACCACGGCCCCCACGAGGCTGTGCTTCCCAACTTAAGGGGGTTTTATGGTGAGCTTTAGGGTTTTACGGTTTAGGGACCCCCTAAAAGAGGATCCCAAAGCCG